AATTTGGTTAAGATTAGGGCAGTCGCAATTACTATTACACTTATTATTTTGTAGACAGTAATGTTAAACGAGTCTGTATTCAAAGGAGAGTTCCTGATTTTGAAGATCATAAGAAAAGTTTTATTAATATTTAGATTAAGTTTATTCTGTAATAGCCACTGTATAAGTTTATTAAATCAAAGTTGAGCTACATGGAAGGTTTCACACTAAGATGGACTTTTAAATATTAATATATCAGGATCACCCGCACACCGCCTCCGACGCCTTTACCTGCACCGATGCCTTCTCATACACAGCGCCCTAACGTTTCAAACCAAAGAGATGACCGGATGGAAGTCATTTCGACCCCTGAAATTCAGAAGTGGATGTTTCTTATCGAGCAATTCCTTAATGAGGTATGCACTATTGTTTGGGAAGGGAAACTGAACTCGGAGCAAAAGTTACGTATCAGACATGGTCTCCAAAAATGGGCAGCAGTACCTCCCAAATGGCAGTGCATTATCAGTCCCTCAAAATGAAAGTCGTTAGAGCCAGCATAGCTCTGCCCAAACTCTTTAGGACCAACATGACCTATCTAAATACCTAAATGACCTTAAGTGCACCATTGATGAATCGTCCAAACATACATCCGGAACATCATTTGCCGACAAGGTTAAAAAGGGTACTAACAATTATTTCCCAAAGACAAGCTCAAATTCACTGGCTATTTATCCCAATGATAAAGGCAGATCAAGCGATGACAAAAGTCATTAACAAAAAAAAAACTGTCCTGAAGAAATGAAAATGCTGATGAAATGAGGGCTGCGTAACAAAAAATAGTGGTGTCATAATCAGCACAGACACAAAAGAAGACATTGACAAATTGAAACAGTCCAGCCCAGCTTATAAACTCAGGCCTTGCCATTGATGACCAACATAAGAAGAAGCCGAGAGTAATAGTTATCGGAGTACAGAGTATTATGCAGGAAAAAAGAAGTTTTTACTTGCTTATACCACCAGAATCCAGCAGATAAGCTGCAAGACTGCTGCCTTGAAACGTTTTTTAAGCTCAATTAGGTTAAGCCACAAGTCGGGTAAGAAAGATGCTGAGACCTCTATGTTATTGAAGTATCTACAACCATACGAAAAGCCCTAATAACTAGAGACAGTGAACTGTCTCTAGTGTGTGGTCATCTTGTCCTGTTAGAGATTTTACGCTTGTAACACGATGTTACAAGTTCTAGCCGTATGGGCACGCAGCCAAAACGTATCGAGACACGTCATACATCTGTAGGCACTGCGGGGTAGCTAGGATACTAACTAAAGGGTTGCACCAAGAAGACAGAAGAAGCAAAATGTGCTACCTGTCTGCGCTTCGAAAATCCGAACATGCATATCACAGGAGCTTCTGACTGTCCGGCAAAGCTAATGGCTGACAAAGATAATTGAACTCCATTGATTACGAAGGCGTCTAGGAGCGCATTTAACACAGACATTTGCTGACCTTTCTCTGTTTATACAGATTTAATTCATAAGTATGTTATTAATATAATTATGCAATGTATCATTCTGTACCCAAAAATGAAACAAAGTATTAAGCTATACAACCAAAATGTTATATTATGGAAACAAAGGGCACTGTATACTTCCACACAAAACTAGCACTCAAATCCACATCATACATTTGTTCACAAGCACATCATTAACTAAATTTACTCTGAATACCCAATACACACACGCTGCATGTTCCCTTTGCTAGTTTGTTATTTAGTATTAAGAATTTGTACCTATTATGCGGCCAGAGCGAGAAACCACTGACGACTCAAAACACAGATACACACCTAGTTTGAGGGTCCGAGGCAACCCACCCTTTGCCTCATGTATATTCTTTGTCGTACTTTAACTAGACAGTCAGTAAGTAATTTTGTAAAATTACCTGAATAAAGATTTATTTTCTTGAATAGACGGTATTTTTTATGTTTTCCGCCATTGTTATCTAAGAACTATATTGTCATCCTTGGGACGGCCCTAAAATGACGTAAAATCTTTGTATACTTGTAAGGACATGGTATACAAAAAACTTTAAGTGTTTAATTTAACTTTCTGATTATAATTATCTATGAATTACCTTAACTATATTTCTGATAAATGGCGACAACAAGTAGGGATTGAGAGTTATCAAAAATGTAAAAGGCGTTAATTTATGTTCCTATGAATTTAGTTCTCGTACATTGAAAAAAACCACGTCAATATCTTACAAAACCGTGTATCAGTACCATTAATCTTGTTGCACATGATACGTTATTTTATTAACAGTTTATTTTTTCAAGTCGAATAAAATCACCCTAAAGATCAAATATTTAAGAAGTACGTTTCTTATTCATGTCGAACCAGTAACTTACACAATAAAGCTTTACGTTTTTTTATATTTGCCTTGAATAATTTTAATCCAAAAATTAATTAAAAGCATCTTGATTTTGTGTAAGGACTTCCAAATTGAACCTTTAGTTCCCTGTAAATCAGAATTCAGAGTTAACCTCGAATGGTCCCTATGAAAGCCAAAGTTGTGAATTTAATTCCAAATAACGACCTTGAAGTTTTGAACAACTTTAATACTGTATAAATCAAGTTAGTCTAGTAAAAGATTTTTGCTGTAATTGGAATAGAGAATAGGTATATATAACGAGAACGGCTTTGGTGCAAACTGGAGTACATTTTGATTTACCTTTAGCAATTTTCTTTTCAGATTATTCATATATACGTGCTAAGCACACCAGTGTAATGAGAAAGAACATACTCAATTACAACATAATAAAATTTAATTGGGCAGCTTTAAAACGATCCAAACTCCGAAAAAACTCTCATAAACCAACAACGCGATGGTAATCGGAAAAATTCTGACACATGGATTTGAACCCCGGGAATACCAAAAAATATTTTAAAAACGGACTGTTTTTATTGTTTTTAGTTAAAATTTTTTTAAAATTTTTTTTTGCAAGTTCTTTCTTTTTCCGTTAAATAGTTCCTTCCATTTACATATCCGATACATGAAAGTGAAATTTTAAGGGGGTTCAAATGAGTTCTTATTAAAACCCTTTGGTACATTTCTTCTGACATACACAAAAAACCCTTTAGTTCCACCTCGAGCGATACTATAATGTGTAAAATGTAACTTATGTGCACTATTTACGGGGAAAAACCATAACCGCGCAGTTTCGGTCCCAAAAAATGAAAATTCTTCAAGAGGAAAAATTTTTTCAGGATCATAACCCACAAAAGTTATCGTTTCGTGATACTTTTTTAGGTTACCTTTGTTTTAAAAATTCGAAATTTTATAGTCGGCGCTGGCTGCCCGAATGAAGTGTTCGGCTTCCGTACTATAAATATTATTTATAGCCGCCAAAAGCTTAGGGAAATCTAAAGTAAGATGAAAAAATAAAGACTAGGTAGTTTCACGTAGTTATTATGTTAACTCTGGTTTCTCTTTTTACCCTTGTTTACCCTAAACAGAAATTATTTTGAAGATAGGTATAATGACGAATTGAAATACTATATATATATATATAATCTGAAACGGATCATACTATTTTTATGAAATTTAGTATGTAGTAGTATTCGTAATCGATCAACCTAGGTTTCTTTATCATAAAATTTACCAATGGTTTTTATTCATATAGCTTATTTTAAAGACGGGCTAATCTTGTAAGTCATTCAGTATTGTATACATGAATTAATGAATGTTTGGTAGGATCGCTATAAATTTATCATTGTACTATCGGTTATCATCACTATCATTTGTAGCAGTTGTTTTGTAACTTGTTCTCGAATAAAATATATTACCAAAACGTTTATGTTGTCAATTTAAACCTAATATGATTGTCAATCTCTTAAATGTAAAATACCTAAAGAAGTAGTCGGCTAGCGTTGCTTAGCGCATTTCTATCAGCAATAGACACCCTATTAAAGAGACTGCAGCTACTATTAGCCCCGGCCAACATTTTTACCGCAATCTCTTTCGTGTCGACATTTTATTATCGGTGGTGTCAGCTCCGTTGTAATCCCTGGCAAGCGGTACAATTACGATTTATAAAACCACCGTTCTCTGTTGTAAAGCAAAAACGATAAAGAGAATAGTAAGCCTCGAGTTCGCCTTGCTTACCCCGTTCCTGGGCTCTCTTTTATCTTAATATTCACTGATATTAAAAAGTTAATACCAAAAAATAGCACTGATACCTTCTCAGTTTTGTTATCTCCTAGTATTTAGTATAATAATGTGAGTTAAGATAGATGCCGTTTCAATTTTTTTATTTTGTAGTTTCATTGGCTTCTCAGAAATTAATGATATACGAGTAAATATCGATTTCACTTTATTTTTCTTTTTATGAATTTTAGCACATTTTCAACGTATTTAATTTGTATTAAATGTAAATAAAAATCATTAATCATATTAACAGAAGGAGACATATTTTGTTAAAAAGGTCTAGTTAAAACCAACAGATGCTGTTTACTGCATTAACTATTACGACACGTAGCTTTGAAAAGGTTAATGGTATTATAATTAAAACTTATCAGTTCATACATATTCAATTCAAAACGTGAAAATAATAATTTCATCTTGGGTCAGGGTATTATCAAACATTAATGAAAGTACGAGTAAAAAAAGCCTCCTTGTTAAAGAAGAGGCCCAAGCCCACCAGAGGACTATTAAAGGCTGTTGATGATGAATGAAAGTTCCCAACAGTCTAGGTAAGTAACTGAGATCTTCACTAGATAACGGGCACGAGCAGAATTTGAAAATATAATAATTGGACTAATTATATTATGTAATCAGTAAACGAACTTCACGAATACTGCTTTCATCTACTTTATCAGTGTCTTGTGTTACTCTTATACAAATATAAAGCTCGCATGACTTAAAAATGTAAACTCGTAAAAATACACACAAACGTTTCATTCAAAAAAACACAATGCATTACCATTTTAAATGGGAATATGAATTCAAAGGTCTTCAAAGATGCGCTTTAGCTGCCGTTATGTTGATTCTTAACATGCGGATTCTTAACATAACTCTGCAGAAAGAGGGCTACGGCTGGATTTAACACGAGCTTAGGAGCCAACTCTATTCTTATATTATATTCTACAAATTTGTGAACTATTAATTTTAAATGTTTTAATGTGTAGTGATTAACCGCCGTTATTATACACATACACACAGTAACAATGATGTTACTGTATGTGTGTCAATTATGTAATAAAATATTAATGCCTGTATTTTTATTTAATTACAAACTATGAATTTTACTTTTAATCTGGTTACACACACACAATCACAAATAAGCTACAGAGGTCAGGGATGAAATAATGTTGTCCGAATTTGACATTTGTTACACACACACGGTATCAAATAATAGGGATTAAAGTATGAAATTGCCGTTGTACAGTAATAAATATTTTGACTTAACATCTTCATGGTGTAGGATTTTTGTGTGATACTTTGTTCACATGATACCTATGAGGTTCTTCTTTAAAAAAATGTGCAGCATTCGATTTTCGACTTTCAATTGGTTTTTTAATCAGCTTAGACGTGAAAGATGGATACATGGAACATCCGAACCATTTCTGAATACGAGTTTCGGCAGAAAAAGCTCGCAATATCAACGCTGCGTTTGGAGAGAAGACTGTTAATGAACGCACCGTACGTTTTTTGTTAAAACGCTTTCGTAATGGAAACTTCGACTTAAAGAACGAACCACGTGGAAGACAGCACACAGGGGTTAATAAAGCTGTATTGAAGGAGATGGTGGAAACCAATCGAAGTCAAGCTACGCAGGAATTAGCTGCGTGGTTTAACCTTACCCTACCTACAATATTGACTCATTTGCATCAAACCAATAAGATATATATTTTTTGAAAAATGATGATTTGCCTGACCTGCAGAAGGAAATGCGTGTTGAAACATGTGTTGCCCTGTTGAATCAGTACATAAATGAAGAAATATTGAATCGAATTGTGATATGTGATGAAAAAGTGTTTTTTTTTGCGATTACAATAAGCGAAAAATACAATGGCTGACCCCAGGTCAAACGCCGCAGCAGTGCCCTAAAGCAAAGCTTACCCATAAAAAGGTAATGGTAACTGTTTGGTGGTCTCTTCATGGTATTATTTACTATAGCTTTCCTCAGGTCTGGTCAGGCAATAAGAGCAGATATTTACTGTGCCTAACTTTGAACAATGATAGCGAAACTGGTAGTGAAACAGCCCCGACTCGTGAATCGATTATTGCTCCATGAATAAAAAAATGTCCAATAAAAAGGTAAAGGTAACTGTTTGGCTCATAGGCCTGTCTTTAGAAAGGAGGTTTTGGCCGGCTATACCACGCTCGCCAGACGGGTTGGTGTAGGATTTGTTTCAAGTTTTCCTTCTCTCTGCAGTGCTGTTGACCTGCGTAGTTTGCTTTTTTAGTCGCCTCTTACGACACTCACGGATGAATAGGGGTGGTGACACTCTGTATTCTTAATCCTTCACCACACGGGCTTCATTGCAAACCCAGGATTGTAAATATTATGGGAAATAATCCTCGTTATTTTTACCAAAATATGAGATAATTAAACTGCTGGTTTTGCTCATTAAAATTATATTACGTACATATGCTATTAGGTTACATATTAGAATTGAGTTGAATGTAAGACAGTGAATTGTAGCAGATAAAATAAAATATATTTATGAAACAACAATACCTAAATATCTTAAGATAATGTATCTGAATATTACTCGATTACTTAGTAAATATTCGATACATGTTTATAACAAATGTTTCTGAAGACTTTAAAGCAGAATAAAACCGAAGTAAGTCAGTAATTAATACTGTGTTGAATTTTGTGTTCATTTTGATATATACGAGTAATTAGGTTGTTAATAATTTTGTTAAAGAAACAAACTTTTTTTGATTATCAGTAAGTAGGGTTTAGCCAAAAAGTTTTTTCCGATACATTACATTCCCCATAATTGTAGCGTTTGCACAAGCCTATGGTAAAGGTATTAGGTATATCAAAGAGATAAGTATAAAAAAAAAAATAGACCACCTGCACCAGAATTTTATTTGTTGAACATCAGACTAATAAATTCAGAGAGTGTATCTGTCTATTGAAACAGTCAAAATAAAATGGATGCCTACATTTTGGTATAACTATATCTACACACTAATGTGACGTAATATGCTGTACTGTTGAATATTCACTTGCTATAGATATGGTAGTGCCACAAACTGACAGAATTGACATACAATCTTTGGAGTAGACAAGGAGCATTAGGTTGATGAATTGTCTAAACTTGAGACAGTTTCATACAAAATAACAACAATACACCAACAATAAAGTTATCTATTACCCCAATAATCTGTAGTAATTCTAGAATTGGACTAATTGAGTCTTGGGGATTAATTACGCGTGTCTGTAAGCGTGTAACGCTTTCTTCTTCTAACGATAATCTATATAACAGAAGAAGTTCCCTAAACTAAACACACACACACACACTGTACACTTTAAAAATGTAGAATGCAGTACAAGATACGGTAACCTGGGCATTCGAATGTTATTGCTATGCCTGCTGTCAGCGATATTATATAGTGCAAATACCAATACAATATAAACGAAATAGAGAATTTCGAGTTACCAATGATTCATGTTTTTAAACAAATAAAGTTTTTATTGAAATTATTATCTACGTGTACTACAGATAAAAAGTTACAGTTATACAAGAATGATAAAAAGGAGACATAGCAGTTGAAATGGGTGAGAGTGTGTGTAAGTGTGATAATATTACGAGTTAATGGCCACTGTTAACACTTCAACGAAGAGAAACAATATATTTAAATAAGCAAGCAAGATAGATAAGTTATAAATTTCAATACAACAGAATACCTAAAGCTTATGTAAGTTAAAACCTCGGGTCAGAATACTATAAAAGCATACCGGGTTTCGATTTTACATCGTCATTGATGATTTATGTTAACACAGGAGCATAAATTAGGCTTTAATGCAAACCCAGAATTGTGAATATTATGGCAAATGATCCTCGTTATTTTAAACAAAAATATGAGATTAATAAACTGCAGTTTAAATAGCAGGGTAGTTTTATATTAATTGGTAAACCGTAACGGGGTGTGCGGTTTTTACTCTGTTCGAGTCCGACAAATCCTTATTAATATGTACCCGATTTTGTTTTTTTGTCATAATAACGAACAACCCTTATACCATTCAACTTGTTACTGATACAAAGAATAACTAGTTAAAGGAAATTAGTACTAAAATTGATATTGAAACTTCAAATATTCTTTATTTGCTTAATCAATATTTGAATTTTAATATTGATTAAAGCAAGTAAAGATTTCTATTTTTACCCTAAAGGTTGTGGTTCGATTTTACAGCCACCCCTGGCTTAAAAGTTGCACATTTTAGCCTTTTTCTATGAACATTTCTAGTTTTAATATCGTGTTTTTATAATCTAATTAACTAAGACTTTAGGTAAAAATAAAATAAAGACTTACCATCGTGAGAGTCATACATAAAGATGATTTCCTTCCATCCATAATATAGAATGGTGTCCACAATCGCTTTATGATAATCTGGTCGCATGCTCACTGCATGGTCGATTAGACCCGACGAGGGTGGAATGACCTGTCAAGAGAACTATCGTTAAACATTGTACTCTTGTTACTTACTTAAAACAGACTAACATTAAATTATTAAATTAGTAACTAAACTAACTCTTAAGCTTTTGCGTCCAATGACAAAAAATAATTACCTATGTACATAAGAGAATTAACGTGATCATCAAAATAAAATGGGACATCTGCTGTAGGTCGTAGCGTGACCAGAACGATTCAAACGGACCAGAAGACACCTAGTACCCTTGTAACACCTATCACATTAAAAGTGTTACTGTTAGTCTGTTAAATTACGTGTGTTATAAATTTTTCACCCCGTAAGATATCTTTATTAACATTTAAGTAACTTATTTTGAAAATGGTAAGGTTCTATTTTATAGTGTAAGGGAAGTAGAAACAAATTTTTTAATATTACTTACTGCAGTGTTTATTAAGTATTCTTTAATAAACAATATAATTATTATATTTAGTAAGGTGACAACGATTTTTAATTTATCTGAAATCGTGCTGCAATCGATTAATAAGAACTGTAAGTGTGGTCCCTGTACAGACATGTGTAAAGAGTTCTTTAATCTCTGGCTAGAATTCTCAAAGAAGATCGAAGGTTAAAGACTGTTATTTTTCGAAAGACAAACTTCGCAGTCCCCGACGAAACACTATGGTAATCGCTATTACGATAGAATCGGGTTTATTAGGATATTCGTTATCTACACACCCTATTACAATCATTGAGTTTTTTTATGATCGGGCGATGAATACTTTGGATTTATCCATATCAATAATGATCTTTATGTTTTTGTTCAACGTATAACATAAGTGAAAAATTTACACGATCAATAACGCAAAACCTATTACCAAATCTCAAAAGTCAACATTTAGAGTAAGCGGCTATTACCATATTGTTCGAGGGAAAAATGACAGAATCAGAATCAGAATTTATACATAGGTACCGAAATGGTTATAACACCTAAAAATGATCATCGTAATAAGCATGTAATTTATGTTACCGTAATATTAAAGTCAGTTATATCATCGAATACGATTGCAATGTCATTTTACGAATATAAAGTATATTCCATATTTACCATGGAACAATATCACAATGAACGATTACTACAGCAACACGATTTGTGATTACAGTCGAACACTATCGTAAAGTTAGTTTGCGTAAATTTTTTCCGTAGCTTATTTCAGTAATGTATATTTTCACAATTTTCTTACTGATAAAGAAAATTTATGATAAAAAATTAGTAAAAATCTAGTGCAAAAAAATATTCCCTTATTTTTATAAAAGAATCTTCTTTTTAGTCTTGATAGTATTCAAGATATTCAGTTTTTATTTGCTCCTGTAAAATTGTCATTTTCCTATTACGATTTTGTTCGTCGGGGACTGCGACTTAACTTTACCTTTCTAAAAAATACTCTTTGATTTATCGATGTTACCTCATCGTAACTTTCTAAGCGCAAGTGGGCAATGGTGGTCAACGTTCTAGACATCTAAACGAAAAAAAAATAAACAAACGAGTATTGTCCAAAGAGATTCGTTAGGTGACAGCTCGAGACCTTCAACTAATCGTTTGAGTGCGCGTCCATAATTCACAAAATTCAGGCTGCCGCACACTTTATTTTTGATGCAAATTTACGGATGCACGAACAAGTGATAAGCACATTTTTATAATAAATACTTCGAGAAGTTTATTGTGTACCTTTGAGCTTAAATTATCGATTAAGAAATATTTATTTGTGTATTAGTAACAAAATATAATTTTTCTTTAATTTCTTACACATACCGTATAATCGGGTAATAAGAGTCAGAGCAATACGGCCAATGGAAGTTATATCCCACTGCCCGTAAAAATTGCGCGATATTATTAAATATTAATTGTCATTGTCTATTTTATCAAAAAGACCGAAAATACGCCTTACTTTCACAAATAAAGCTTAGTGGCTGTCTATCATACTATCAAAAGCAGCAGAGCTCATGAGTCAAGGCCACTCTTTGAGGGATGCTGCTAAAACCATGTATATTACCCTTTTCAAGTTGCCAACAGCAGTCAAAACCAAAATATTCATAGGAACCACGCCTTTTCTACTACCTGCAATCATAGCAGAGATAGAAAAAGTTCTAGCAGACCGGATAAATTGCATATCTTAAAATTTTTAAGGCATCAAAGCAATTCAAGTAAGGAGGCAGCATATCAATATACAGAACAGTTTCAAATTTCACACAATTTTACCTGCAGTGCTTTGTCCAAATCAGACAGGTCGATGACGTCGATTTCGATAACTGCTTAGTATGTGATGAATTTGACTGTAGCAACTTTATTTTGTGATACAGAAAGACTTACTACGGCTTGTGGGCACATGCAAACATCACAGGGTGGGATTTGCCACGAGGTTACGTATGCAACAATTGTTAATATATGTTGACTCTCATTATCCCCTTAGTGACTATAATTACCCTCTAATGTGGACAATAGTTGTCAAAGATATTTTTTTCAAGTTTAATAGTAATTAATATGTAAATAATAGCTATTAAATTTTCATAAAGTTTAAATACATATTTTGTGTTTTATATTAATTGTTGCTTAAGTGACTCTCATTACCCCTTTTTCCTCTAAGTTTACTAGCTGTTAACGTTTTAACCTATAATATGTATTGTTAAATTTTTCAATTCGAAGCAGTAGTTCCTGAGATTAGCGCATTCAACCAAACAAACTAACAAAACTCTTCAGCTTTATAATATTAGTATAGCTAATAGGTTTTTTTGTAATATCAACATATTTAATATTTTCCTTTACTTACACTGTGACATCTTACTTTTAAATAATTAACCTTTTATACCAAAAGAAATTCAACATGACAGGTATTTCAAACATTACGGGTATGTAATTGTTACAAATTAGGTACATACAGTCAAATAACCTTTCCCTTTTTGAAGTCCGGAAAATACAGCTTGTACTTCAGGTAGAATAAACAGTCACTAATTTTTTATAGGTCATTTCATAAATATTTTTTAATCTGTTCCATGGTTTAATGTTTTCGAAATGAAGGTAAATAATACTGGCGTTAAAGCACAATGGTTGAATAAATCAATATGATCTCTGAATCATTCATTAGATATATTTAATATTATCCATATATCAGCCACAACTGTTCTTTCAAGTATTAAAGATAAAAATTGAATCACAGTGCCTTTGTCAGCAGAAAAATCAAGACAATCGTTGGGAATTGTCGCGTTTGACATCCTTCGAATATAATTATATTGATCATAGTATGTCACGTTCCTTTTAGTAAGGTTTAGTGAAAAATGTTTTTACCTCTTCTTTTGCTTATTGTGATTACGTTGTTCACAATTTCTGTTTTACTAGTCTTTTTTTTTCTATTACTGTTGGTACTGACTGTTGTACTTTTGTTAACATTCGTAATAGTATTAAGAAACACGCTGCTTAACAACACCTAATGAACAAACTTAATAAATTACCTACGTACATAGTGTAGTACTACAAAAAATATCTCACCATTTTTTTTTGTTGACAGGTTGGAAAATCCTATCGGATCTCCGGCTCCTTGGGGACGCAGGACTCAGGAGTATGTGGTGTTTTCACTAAAAACCAGCATGACGGCCGGACTCAGGTCCTACTCTAAAGAGAACCCGGACCATGTTATTTCAGATCCCAGTAAGGCCCTATCCCGGGGAAGCCACGGGCGTCCCCCGCCTATCAGCCCAATCATTATAATACGAGTATGTTACGGCCCGATCTCTGTTTTGCGACCAGCCGCCATCCAATCGCCTACCGTAGCAGTTAATCTGCCATCCGAGGTCCCCACTCTCTGGCCTGCGTCAAGACTAAGCGTTTTAAAATTCATCCCAGCAACAATCACGGTGTAATATATTCGAAACTTTTCTGGAAACGTTGTTCATTCTGTAAAGCGGGAATTGTCTTTAAAAACGAACAAAGAGTTTATAATTCAGTGTAAAGTGCGAATTAATCTAAACATTAAGGGAAATCTCATGGTTCCCTTAACCTCAGCTCATTCATTAACACCATATACATGGCGAGCGCGAAGAGAACGTAACATACTTTGAGGAAACACATGCCCCCTAATACGCTTTTAAGGCATTTGGGAGTAATCTCACGGAACCTTAAATGTGTGTTGCTAATTTCCTTTCTAAGTATGCACTTAAACAGAATTGGGATCTTTAACTCAACATGTCGCGACTGATGTTGCTCCAAGAGCGCAGGCTATTAGCCTAGGTGCTACTCTTGTTCTAAAGATAACCAAGATAAATACTTTAAATAGCAAGTTGAACCAACTTTAAAAACTTAGTGTGTTTTTTAGAAAAAGAAAAATAATTAGTTACAAACTTAATTAAAAAGAGTATATTACTAATAGGTAAAAGGAATAAAGGCACTAGGTACTGTCTGGTCTGTTAGAAATACACGTATATACATACCAACTTTTTTTCTAGCCGTTCTTTGATACTATGGGTTATGTCAGCTAGATATATAAAAATATATATTTTCGTAAATATATTTGCAGGATAACAGCACTGCAAAGAGAAGGAAAACGTAATACAAACCCTACACCAACCCGTCTGGCGTGGTATAAGTGGCCAAAACCTTCCTTCTCAGGAGAGGCATACGAGTATGTCCAGCAGTGGTTTATTATTAACGACTGTCGATGTTGTTGATGTTGAACTAACTAATTAGGAAATAAAAGTTTCCGATTTCGTAGAAAGTGGCATACTAAGCTTAGAGGCAAATGGTACACTAAAAATTTCAACATCTGTCTTATACACTTTCATGTATTATCATAAGGTTATGTAAATAAATCCAAAAAAAGACGCTCACTCACTTAGTATACACACCTCGACCAATGCAAAAAGAAATTAGAAATGTATTACTTTCATCATCATCATCATCATCATCAACATCCTATAATAGTCTATGTATTACTTTGACTGCGATATGTTAACTAAGTAGTCTAGTTTTTTTTCATAGTATACTTCGTAAGTAAGTACTACTAATTACATACAAAAAATACTTGTTTTTTTGTATGTAGTATTATGGTGATAACACTGCAAATTCTTATTTAAAAAACAACACACAATAAAAAAGTTGTGCATGATTGAGTAAGCATTTTTATCACTGTATAATAAAAAATTATTTAATGATAATGAACCGGGGATGAAAGAATAGTGTACAGTAAACTGTATTAAAAAAAACATATACATATATTATAATTTATTATTGTAATTTAATCTTCAAGCCCCAGGTTCAGCATACAAAAAGTAAATTAAAATAAATGTTTTTTTCTACATACCTTCTCCGGGAACCAGGGAGTGACGAAAGGCATTTGGAATGTGTTGGTATACGAGTGTAAGGTGTCGAAAGATTCCGGCGTCACCGCACCAAGCATCGCAAACACTCCACGTGCGAACTGGTTGCATACTGTACATAAATAGTTTACATTGTTTTATCGTGATAAGATACACAGAGAGTATGTGTAGCGGTATATAGGGAACAGTTGGTCAAGTAAACTTCTTTATTCTCCATATATCTATCACGGGCCTAACTGCAGTTGTTTTGTTTACATAAAATATTTAATAATGATTACAAGAGCAAATAAAATTATTTTTAAATAAATTAATGACTTAAGATAAGGTAAGGGAAGTAATATAACCCAACTGTGAATTGAGATCTTTTTGCAGGCACTAAGATTACGTAAAGTTTTATTTAAACGATATTTGACGTAATTGTACCCTAAGTATACTGGAATGATAATGTACGTAATGTGTAGGCTTTGATATTTAAGAAGAGATAAAGTTTTACATTATAAAAACATATCGAGACCGTACGTACAGGTTATCATAAGGTTAAATTTAATTTTGGTTGTATGTAGATTTATTTGGTTAATACTACTCTATTATAATTTAATGACTCAAAAATGATGTTTACAGTCCTTTCTTATTTAATTAAGTGCTCCTTGTAAATTTAGCCGACTCAATTACTCTGTAAATATTCATCGGACAGTTTTTAGAAGAACACCCCGCTTTTTAATTACTTATGACTGTATCGTGTTTAAGATCATTTCAACGAATGGCCCTCCCCTTTCGAGAACTGTATAAACAATTTGCGTTTGATTTAAGGGCTTAGTGACCTATTTGCAGGATTGGATGTGGAGCCAACCGAGTTTTATAAGGTTTTGATATTTGAGAAGATATATAGTTTTATATTTTATAAACATTTCGAGATTATTTACAATATTTTTCATGTTTACTTTTAATAGGGATATTAAAAAAATATTTTCAAGTGAACTGTGTTACAAATAAGATAAAAGTGGCTAGAACGGACAAAAACGGATTAAATAAGACAATTCATTTTATTTTCAAGTTCATTAAAATTTAACTCGTCTGACAGGCTTTTAAGGCAATCGAATTAGGGTGCAATTACATTGACTGTGCCTCGTTGAGTGTCTAGTAATAACAACGACCCGACAATGTCAAAGTAAATAATTGATATTTTATTCAGTACCTGCTGCTAGAATTATTTAGTTCTTGATTTTAAATTATCTCCTAATATTTTATTGATAGATATATATTTAGTTACTTGCAATACTTGAACTGTTTAGTTTAAGATGAAGTCTTAGACGACAGAAATATAAATATAATAATATCCTCACACTTCTCACACACGCCGGTCTAATCTCAAACTAGACAGAGCCTGTGCTATGACAACCAGACTGCTGATAAACATACTTATATATTTCTTTGTATTGATGGTTTATGTAATCTTAGTTTATTTAGTAAATGCATACTTCAGTATTACATTGCCTTACTTAATAGATGGTATCCCGGACAAAAATACGTTGCAATAAACATTATTAAAAAAAATGTAACATTAGTATAACGATATTTTCTCGTTGTTAATATATGTATATTTAATTTTCCAATAATCACAAGTTCTGTTACAATATACGTTAATATTTCAGAAAATACTGTTGCTGGCGTAATAATGCAGTTCATACATATTTGGCGCAGCAAAAAAAAGCTGATTTTCATATTAAAATGGGCATTCTCCTTTATGATATATAATAAACATAAAACCTGTTACTAGAAAAACACACTTTCTCAAAAGGTCAAATTGCTTACCAACTGTAAAATCAACATAGACATAAGAGAGTTCTAATGCGCATGTTTTAGCTTTCACTCTAAATACTTGATCCTATGCTAAGTTTGCGTTTACCAACTCGTTCTGACGTGTGGACCACCAACTCTATTTGTATAATAAACTTATATAGAAACTACAAGCCCCGAGAGCATCGCGTCAACTGATGTTGTTGACTCGTAAAAAAATAAACATACTTGTCTTCTTTTACTATAAAGAACTTATTATTTGTCTCAATGTTTTACTATTTGATCATAGGTGATGTGTAATGTGCTCAGATTTTAAGCACCTAGTTTTATTCAGTGTAGGAGTTATTTTAGAATATGTTATACAATTAGAATATTTTAACTTATTAAGAATCAAATGCGAAATTCATAACTGATAACAATAGTGGACATGATTTGTGGTACTGTTCTATTCAGCATTATAATCCGAATCAAGAAAAACTTTAAGGAACATCTTCTTTATTATGATATAAGGGACACACGATTAGATGAGTCACCTGTTGGTAAGTGACCTGCACGGACACCTGCATTTCAAGAGACACAAGTGACCGGTAACCTCACTCACTCGGTGTCTAGACAACTAGCAAAAGAATTGCTTAGCTCCGATTTTCTGTGAGGCCGTGGTATCACTTCGGTCGATTCGCCCCAGCCGTACCACGCCATGGATATCCCAAGGCAAACCATCTTAAAAAGTAATTTAACGCTTTTCATAATTTAAATAACGAATCAAAAACAAAGTTTATTCTAATGGAGTTGAAAACTAAATCTTTATAGACCCTTTCAAAAAATATTACATTTCGTGATTATTTAAATTCTACAAAGTATGTTTATTTTATATACCTAATTTCACGAGTCAAATATTTTCACTTATAAAAGCTTTATCTACATAACATCAATCAAGTGTAAATATTCACTTTTTATATTGACTTGGCTGAATTTTGTAATAAACTCTACATAAGAATGCTATGTTTACTGTCGTATGTAAAACGATTTCGGGTAAATATAATGAAATTTGATACATACTAATGTATAAACTGATGAATATATAAATGGAGAAAGAAAAGCGGTATAGTACCTTCTACTCCTCAGGTTTAAAAACATTTTCTTATTTGATCTGCTTTAGTAGTAGAAGTGATTAAAAATTGTCGACGGAGCTTCAGTGTTTTAAAATTGTATGTTTAGAAAGGTTGCACATTACACGAATGTTGATCTAATTTCGACCATTGAGACCGTGACGATTGTTTCAAACACTCTTGTAGAGAATTGCTTAAATAATAAGTAGATATCTGAATAACTGAGTGTAGTGTTCTTATTCAAATGTAATAAGTTACGAACCAACAATATAAAAGCTGTAACTTTATTCAGTGAGACTCACCCCATTATCGCATAAATATTGAATGACTATATTCACAAGAATAAATTGCCTTGTACTTTATAATATAAAAAAGCCTACATATCAGGTTCTCAAATTTAAGAATAGAATAGGCAGATTAACATAATACATTTTCTTTTTCACTTTATCACAATATTGACCGACAGATGGCAGGTTAAGGTTAAATAAACACCCGAGTCATCTGCGGTACCTGGCCCGTTTCCGGACCTGGCGGGCCGGGAGAGTTCTAAACCTCTCCCGGTCCCGCTCCGCCATCATCTTTGCAAGTATAACTTGCTCGCAGAAGGAGACGGTGTTCCACGCACTCTCGCTTCGTACAATGGGGCAATCATACTTCGGTCTTTCCATAGCAGTGGTGGCACTCAGGCGTTGGCTCCTTGCGGATCAGATACAGGTGATCTCCTAAATAACCTTTCCCGGTGACCACCTGCGGCAGCCGGTATGAGAGGCCAATCCTCCATAATGGGGCTTATCGCCGCAATAACGGCGTGCCCGAGGTTATTCAAGCCTAAAATTTCATATTGTGTATAATTACTAGGCAAACTTATAAATTGGGTACGTACGTTTGAGTCAAAAAGATAATATAAGTGTCAGAACGGACGAATATTTGAGTAGAAGGTTTGTGGTTTCTTTGATGATGAATTCTTATGAGGTGTAGGTTTAGACTCGTCACTTTAGAAGGCTCCAGTTGTCCAAAACAGGTAAAACATAATGTTACATTATTTTGAGTTGTTTTGACATATTGCTGTAAATTTAAGCTTCTACGGCATGATGCCAACACTACAATATACATTTTAGTACTACGTGCTAACTTTGCTAAGTCTGAAATTTACATTACATAGTAATATATCGTAACTAGATTTCACATAACTTATGTCAGCAATTAGTTTATATGGCCTAGTCTTGATTTAATTCAATTCTGACCCCGTTTACATAATATACATAAATAGAGTTAGAATTAATGAAATCAAGATATCTTATGATTTGTATACATACATTTACGTTGTCTAAATTATTTGATTGATCTGTCAAAGCGTCGATGTGCTGTGCTGGATTATAATAATAATGGATAATAATGATATAGTAATAGATATCTAAAATGTATAATTTACGCATACTTACATTACAAATACAAAATCAAGCATATCTCTGCTTAGAAGCAATTATAAATTCAGCACTAAAAGCAAATTCAACACTATTATTTTATATTATGTAATATATTATAAATATTATCATATACCTGAAGCTGAAAAAAAACGAAGAAGCGAATTGTAACTTAAATAAAGGTAGGTAAAATAATTATCCTGACTCTTGATAGATGCGTGCCAACAGTATATAAATTCGTTAGCTGCATATGACTACCCCGTTTGTGTCTCTTGAAGCTTTACAAAAATGTATTTAGAATGTAAAACTTAAACGTAAAATGACACATGATGTAGGACATGAACTTTTTTTTTGTTTTGACGGTGTAGAAAATCCCTTCGGATCCCCTGGTCCTCGGCGACTCAGGAGCTAGGAGTATGTGGTGATTCCACTAAAAACCACCGGCCCGACGGCCGGCCTCAGGTGCCCTACTCTGGGAGGAACTGTACCATGTTATTTCAGGTCCTCCCCGAATTGACACCATGCCTAATCAGGCCCTATCCCAGGGGATGACATGAACACCTAGGTAATTATCTTATGTTGAGTTCGATAGTTATTCGTCCATAATATGCATTTTGGATTAAAGCACGTTGATAAATAAATGATCAAATTACTTTAATCTAAGATTGTTTCTCATTAATAATTGCAAGTTCGATTTCCTAAACGTTACTAGTAGTAAACCCTAGCCCTGAGTTGAGTAACGTTGCCACC